CAAGAGGTCGGAGGAGAACTCACCACCTCTGTCAGAGTGCAAGCGCAGGACAGGAAAGTCCGAGTGGAAACGCTCGCTGAGCTGGAGACGGGCTCTGCGGATCCAAGGGATCAAGACATCAGGGACCTCACCCTTGGTACGCAAGGGGAAGACCGTGGTGTAGCGCGAGTAGTCGTCAACAACTATCAGGAAGTACCTCTCCTGACCCTGACCACGGACGCGGGCTGGGCCCCACACGTCCATGTGGAGCGTCTGCAAGAGAGCAGTCGTCGGGGGAAACGAGGAGTGAGGAGCGGCGCGCTGCCACCGCCAGCGCCTCCACGACCACCACCACCGCCGCCACCTCCTCGACCACCCCAACCCCTGCCGCCGCCGCGTCCACCGCCACCCCCACCACCGCCTCCGCCCCTGCCACCTCCCCCGCCGCTGCCGCCACCACCCCCACCGCTGCCACTAGCACCTCCAGTCGCGCCACCACCCCCACCGCCGCCACCGCCCCCACCACCGCCTCCCTCGCTGTCACCGCCACCGCCCTTGCCCCCTTTGCCCTTGCCGCTGCGGCGCCCACTCGAAGCAGACGCAGTCCCGACCTTCTCAGCACCAAGGAGGTCGACAGCAGCATCAGAGGCGACACAGGAAAGAAGGGGGGAAGGAGAACACCCCTCAAAGAACGGGATACGGGGGTCACCACGAGAGGCACCTACAGCGACTATGCTAGTCTCAGTTGCAAGGAGTTCCTTCTTGAGGAGGGCAATGGTGAGCTCAGTGGGGCAGCGAGCTAGGAAGTGGTCCCTGACTGAGCGGAGAGTGTCAGGGAGGCGGGTGACTAGGTGGTAGAGAGTGAGCCAGAGTGGGGGTGGGTTCTTGGCAAGGAACTCAGCAGGCATGGCGGCGCGGAAGCGAGCCTCACTAGTGCGGAGGTGCGTAATGAGGTCAGCGACTGTGTGGAAAGAGGCTAAGTCGGGGAACAGGTAGGGAAGAGAGAGACGGCCTAGTGCGCCGGAGGCCGGTGAGGAGTAGCGGGCAACGACAGCAGTGTAAAGTGCCTGTGCAGTCTTGTGCTGCCCAAAGTGCTCGCGCTCATCTATTGGCTGGGAGTTGCGAATAGCGAAGCGAGCGTGGGCGTCACGAGTCTGCCACTGTGAGCGGGCAGTGCTGTCAACAGTAGCAGCAGGAGCAGGAGCATGGCCTAGGGCGTGATCGTACAGTGAGATGTCCTCCTTGGCAGTGAGCTTAAGGAAGAGGTGTAGGTCATCTAGCCAGGTTTCGAACTTCACCGGGCGGCCCTCAGCATCGAAAGCCAGTACAGGAGGGCTAGCCATAGCAGTAGTAGGAGTAATAGCAGTAGGGGCACCCCAAAAACAGTAGGCAGTGCGACTCAGGTAGGGCGGCTCGGTCCAGTACGGGCGGCGTGGCTCGGTTCAGGTAGGGCGGCACGACTCGGGAAGGGCGGCGCGGCTAGGTTCGGGCGGCGCGGCTTGGTTTGGGCTGGGCGGCTCGGTTCGGGCGGCTCGGTTCGGGCGGCTCGGTTCGGGCCGCTCGGTTCGCGCTCGGCGGCTCGGTTCGGGCGGCTCGGCTCGGGCAGGGTGGCTCGGTTCGGGCTGCTCGGGTCGGGCAGCTCATTCTGGGGGGGGGGGGGGCGTTCGGGGCCTCTAGGGGCGAGCGCGGGGCCGTAAGGGGCCGCTAAGGGCGAGCGCGGGGCCGATCGGGGCCTCTAGGGGCGAGTGCGGGGCCGTACGGGGCCGCTAAGGGCGAGCGCGGGGCCGTTCGGGGCCTCTAGGGGCGAGTGTGGGGCCGTAAGGGGCCGCTAAGGGCGAGCGCGGGGCCGTTCGGGGCCTCTAGGGGCGAGCGCGGGGCCGTAAGGGGCCGCTAAGGGCGAGCGCGGGGCCGAGTGGGGCCTCTAGGGGCGAGCGCGGGGCCGTAAGGGGTCGCTAAGGGCGAACGCGTGGGCCGACGGGGCCTTAAGGGGCGGCGCGCGAGTCGCTAAGGGGCGGGTCGCGGGTCGCGGGGCCTTAGAGGGCCATGAAAACCGAGGTGCCCTAGGGCGCATGTAGGTAGGTAGGTAGTGGTGGGCCCTAAAAAAAAATCGGTCCTAGGAAGGACCTGCTCTATACCATGTTCAAATGAATGAACAGGAATGATTGAACTAACAGTGAAATCAGTACAAGTACCTAACCCTAGAATTGTGTACCCCCTATAGGCTAACCCACTGTAGCCTAAACAAGCACAACATATATAATGTTTGACATGATTCAGTCCGTGACACGAGCAAAAGGTATTCCAGGCGACTGAAGCAGCTCAGAATGGAGTGGTCGAGGCGTCCGCAGATAGTGGTGGCACCAGGGCCAGTCAAGATCTGGTACTGGCAGGGCCCGACGTCGCGGACAACTCGACGAGGCCCCCAGCTGTTAGGGGCGCTGCTGCGGCTGACGCTCCAAAACACCAAGTCTCCACTGTTGCGGAGGCCCCCACTGATGCTGAGGTCCCCGATGTTGCTGCTGCTGCTGCTGCACCTGTTGCTACACCTTCTGATATTGCTGTAGCTGCTGCTGCTAAGGCTGCTATTGCTGCTGTATGTCCCTGCCACACTCCCAGTGCCAGCACTTCCCCCCACCCTGGCCGGACCCTCAGACCCGACCCACCAGTATCATTCCTGACCCTTCAGTACCTCCACCACCTCCAACTGTTAGAAACAAGAAGTGATTGAACTATGAAACATTGGAGTACAAGCAGGAAACCCTAGAGTTGTGTACCCCCTAAAGGCTAACCCACTATGGCCTACACAACAATAACACATATAGTGTTTGACACCAACCCCATCACCCTTTCCCACCTTCTTACCTCCCTTGCCCTGTTTCTACCAACGAGTGGCAAAAAGTGTTGTAGTTTCCTCGGTACTGAGCAGTAGCGAGGGAAGCAAAAAAGGTCAAGAGCTGGGGCTGAGCACATTCCTTAAAGAGATGCACACTGCAGGCGCACTGGCGGTGGCGCACGCTGCATGCCGAATGATCTGCTAGATGTGCACGTGCTGCTGGCGGTGCATACCGGAGGTGCGCGCGGTTTGCTGGCGGTCCACGCTGCCAGAGCAGGCACGGTATAGGCAGGGTGCACGCTAGCGGTGCGCGTTACTGGCGGTGCGCGCTGGCGATGCGCATTGGCTGCCAAGGTATGCAACGGTTGGCGGTGCAGACGTGAGCTGGCGGTGCATGCTTTGCCGGCAATGCGCACTTTGGTATGCGCGCTTTGCTGGCTAGGCGTGCGCTGGCGGTGCGCGCTGCTGGCACGTGCGTTTTGGTGGCCGTGCGCGCTCTTGGCTGCGTGCGCTAGCGGGCTGGCAGTTGGCGACTGCCTTGCTGCCTGGCAATGGCTGGCTGGCTAGGGCTGGCGAGACAGGCTGGCTAGCCGGCGGACGGTCTAGGAGCTAGGTAGGCGGGCGGTCTATGAGCTAGGTAGACGGGCAGTTTACAAGCTAGGAACGAACATACAATGATATGGTACAATGTCAGAAGTACAAACTGCGGAATGAATGTACTGAACAAAATGTGGGTACAAATAGCTAACCCTAACCTATGCTAGCCAATGTATCACAAAAAATATAAGACAAACATCGTCGACAGTCATATACAGGGGATTACGGTAAGCACACTACGAGAAGTTTTTTTTTTTTTTTTTTTTTTTTGCGCAAAGCATGGTGGATTGCGAAAACAGAATTCCCACCTTGCCCCTAAACACGAGTACGTGTTAGGCCCCTTGGCTAAGAAATAGCAGGGTCGACTAAGTCGAGGATGAAACGCGGCGGAATACTTTGACGAAACAAGTGTTTGCAAAATAGGCGAAGGAGTTACTGAGTAAGAATAAAACAATTATGGCAAATACACACAAGGATAATATAGCATGCAAGAGCAGATGTCGAAAACTAGTTCGTGGGACTAGGAATTGGAATGCAAGAAAAGTAGAGTGCCATGTGGCACTTAGAAATCTTGGATGGGTTGGATGAAGATAAGGTTGGGGTACTGTTTAGGGTAAACAACTCTTGAACAAACTAAAGATACGCTTGGGTGCAAGCTTTGACGTGACACTGGGAGGATGAAGGACCCCATATGTCGTCGGCTGCATCGTAACCATGCCACGGACCAAGAAGTCGATGAAAGAGACACCCCCGTGAAGATAACGACGGTGACGAAGGATGCGCCAAATCTGGTAGTCGGACTCGTTGGTCACAATAGCTACTGGCAGTGGAGTGGGATCACGGGCCGAGAAGGTGGCGTTGGGATCGGTGTATGGACGAAGGAGAGACAGATGTGGAAATGAGCGGGAAGACAAAAACGGTATGCAACTGCACCTAGTGCATACTCAATTATGAATGGACCAATCAAACGTGGACGAAGCTTGCTGTCTTGTGTGAGTTGAAGGTTGCGGCTATCCAAAAAGACACTGTTGCTAACATTAAGCGGTACCTCACGACAACTGCGGTTGGAGTTGTGTGCCATGTGTGCATTGGAAGCTTAAAGTGCTTCCTCACGTGATCATGAATGAATGTGAGATGGTGGGGAAAATTATCTTTACGAGGACAGTGGGAATGAGATCGACACGAGCGGGGACATTGGGGAGCTGACTGTATGGTGCAAAGAACGGTAATATGCCTGTGGGCAAATGATGCGTGTTGTTGTAGGGAAACTTTACCACGCTCAGCTTCTTGTCCTTAGCATCTGCGTCATCCATCGAGGTGCTGCGAAAGATCTGCTCCAAGTACAGGTTAGCACGCTGAGTCTCTCCGTCCATGTCTGGATGGTACGCAGAGGACATGGCTAAGCGAGTCCCAAAGATTGCGAGAATTTGCTTTCAGAACTTCAAAGTGACACGAGGGTCGCAGTCTGAGATGATGGAATCGGGAACCCCGTGAAGTCGGGCTACATAATCTACTAACAGTGTCGCAGCTTCCTCTACTGTATCCATGCTGTGCGTGGGGATGAAGTGTGCTGCTCAAGAGAACTTGTCCACTATGACGAAGATGGCGTCTTGATCTCTAACCCTGGCTTCCTTCCTAGCCACTCCACATAGGGCACCCATTTGTCTGCTCCCACATGAGTCAAGGCTCGGTTCTTGGCCACACACGCGCTCCGCACCACATCAGGCCAGAAATAGTCGGGTAGCCCGGCTTCAATGAGTAACCCGCGTGCCGCCTCCGTGATTGTGCGGTTCGCTCGCTCGGCGATGCCGTTCATTGCAGGGGAGTATGGCATGGTGAGGGAGTGCCGAATACCATTCTTCTTCAGCCACAACCCAAACTCCTTGCTCAGGAACTCTCCCCCTCGATCGGTGCGGATTGACTTGACTAGACGGTCTTGTTGCCGCTCCACCATCGGGAACCAATCCGCCTTCAACGTTTCAGCCACGTCGCTCTTCTTGGCCAGCACGTACACCCAAGTCATACGGGTGTAGACGTCCACAATAGTGAGGAAGTACTCAGCTCCAGCAGCTCCAAGCTTCAAGGGGCCCACCACGTCCATCACCACCTCATCAAGTGGTGCCTTAGCCGTTGCCTCCGAACTAGAGAATAGGAAACGGGTGAACTTGGCTTGCATGCACGTCGGGCAGCCAAGTACCTCATCGGGCTCCCCCTTCACACGTATGCCAGCAACCATCTCATTCTTTACTAGCTGCTGCAAGATGGGCAGGGCCACATGCCCCATGCGCCGATGCAAGGTGAGCCAATCACACTCCCCCGTAGCCGAAGTTGGATTGGAGAATGCCGCGCTCGCAATAGCGCCCCACATACTCTCTCCGTAGTCCTCCTCCGCTGCTGCCTCGGGGTTCTCCTCACCCTTTTGCTGCTCCTTGGCTGCTGCACCTCTCTCCATAGGTTCACCAAGCTTGCTGGTCCCTCCAAGATTGCACTTCTTGGACTCCTTCTCCTTAGCGCGACCGTCCGCGCAATCGCCGCTACCAACCGCTCCACCTTTGGTGCTGACGCTTGCTGCCACTTGCCTCTCCTTAGGCATTGGGACCACAGGGATCTGCCACATCTCGTTGTAGACATCTCTGTCCTCATGAAGGTCCCAAAGAATCCGATCGCCAAGCCTTGCGGTGTAGGTCTTGGCTCCCTTTGAGTTCGTGTCCATGCCGGCCTTTGCCAACCGCCGCACGGAAATCAGGTTGGCAGCAAGGCTGGGCACCCAAAGCACATTCTTGAGGCCCACCATCTTCCCATCAGCACCCTTAAACATGGCCTTGCCCATGCCTTTCACCTCCACTCGCTGCCCCAAAGCTGATGTGACATGCTTCACCGGTGACGGTTCGAGTTCGGTGAGCAAGTCCGGGCGAGGTGTCATGCTATAGGTAGCGCCACTATCGATCACCCAATAGTCCAGAGGGTATAGAGTCACCTTCCCCACAGCTGCTGGCTCCTCAAAGCCTTCATCCTTCTCTGGACCAGTCGGTACTTGCGTCGACACGAAGTAGAATAGACCCGGGTACCGATCGTTGCTCGGGTCCTTGTCGTTGTCTCCGCTCTTCATGTTTGCAGCTCCGCCACCGCGACCGCCACGGCCTCCACGGCCTCTTCCTCTCCCTCCTCCTGCTCCTCTACCCTCTTGGCCTTGAGCAGGGGTCCAACCATCAGGGAGTTTGTAGCAGTCGCGCCACATGTGTCCGCTCTTGTGGCAATAGTGACACTCGCCGTCGAATCGGCCGCGACCGCGTCCGTAGCTCTTGTTGTCGCTGCCGTAACCGCCACTCCCGCGGCCTCCGCCGAAGTTGCTGCCATCAAACCTTCCTCCCCCTCGTCCTCTACCTCTTCCTTGACCATATCCACGGCCGATGCTCGCTGCCCCAGCGCCATCCGCACTCGCCAACTCACGGCGGCGGAAATCCTCTTGAAGGATAGCTCACTTCACGTCTTCAAGCGAGAGGCGGGGCAAGTCGCGATTAAGGTTGATGATGAGCGAGGACCATGACTCCGGGAGTAGGGCCAGCAACTTGGTCTTCCTTTGGAGCTCACTATAGTTCAAATCAGCTCCCTCAAGCCGCGTCAACAAGTCGAAGAATTTCTGCACCCCTTCTTCAACCGCTTCATCCTCTTCAATTCGTAGTGTCGCCATTTGCCGTTCCAACACCACAGCTACCGCCGCTGTTGCAGGAGCGTGTACACCCTTGAGAGCAGCCCATGCCTTTGGTCCCTTCTCTGGTTCACGCTGGAAAGGCTTGATGTGACGGATTTGGCTGCTCCCCAACGCTTGCCCAAGTAGGAGGTAGCCTTGTGCGCTCTTCCGCACCCACGGGCTCTTCTCCGGGTCGTTCTCGGGACGCTTCTCCGTTCCTTCCATTACCTCCAGCAGGTCATAGTGGTCAAAAATGTTCTCCATTCTAAAGGACCACTCAGCAAAGTTGTCACCATTGAACTTGTCAAGACCAAACACTCTAGGCTCATCCCTAGATGGGCCAACACTTGGTTGCACAGGCGCCATGGCTGAATCACGAGGTTGGCCTTGAGCTTGGGCTTCTCCTCTGCCACCAGCACCTCTGCCACCCCTTTCCTCAGGTCCAGCCATTGTCGAAACTGCTCCAAGGGGCTCTGATACCACTTGGTATAGTCACAGTAGGCTCCAATGTGCCTAAAACGAAAGATAGAGTGCACAGTCGGATTTCTGCACAGCGGCTTCAAACGTTCATAGCGTTCTGGTCACAACTTCAAATGACTTGATTCAACTTGGATCTGGAGCGTCTGAACGTCGCCTACAATAGGCAATCGCACTATTTCACCAAGTATTGACGACACAGCGTCGGTTTGAACGAACGGCACTATGGCAGCCACTATTGTCTTAGAACACAAAATAGGAAGAGATATGAAGAGTTACGAGTTAGGAATGACTCCCAGCTCCTACAAACCCTAAGAGCCGAGGTACAGTGATATGAAACAGTGCCCCACTGTCCCCAACCACGAAGGGTCTCGAAACTACCCTTCACTAGGGCCTACACCAAGTGAAATGTTACACTACACAAAGTAATGTAACTACCTTCAATATCTTGAGGTGCACCCTTTTGGCGAGCTTCGAAATCACTTGAGGCTTGACACCAAGGCTCGGGCTCTTCATCACAAACTCATCCTTGAGTTCTTGATGGGTCTTCTACACACACCTGCGACACGCCGAACGTTCGACACAGGACAAAATAGAAACCGCGCACGACAAAATAGAAACCGCGTGCGAGACACAAACGACTGCGTAACACGCGTCTAGCGATAACTCGCTAATGGCTCGACACACACACTCGACATCATGACTCAACATTCACACACAATTATAAGCATGAAATATATATTATCCCATGCCCTCATACCATTCCATACACACACACATGCACGCACACGGACAACAAGCCGAGTGCAAACCGTAGGGTTGCACCAACAGCGCTTGCCTCACCTGCGCCCTTGCACCTGCCCTGCTGTGCGCCTTTGAGCACCTGCCCTGCCCGCGCCATCGCGCGCCTGCCCTACCTGCCGCCCGTCGAGTTGCCGTTGCAGCCATGGCGTTGCGGCCCTACCGTCGCGGCCCTGCCGTCGACCTCATGCAGCCGCCGTCGCGGCCCTGCCTTGCAGCCGCCGTCGTGCCTACATCCGTCGTCTCGGCCCTGCCCTGCAGCCGCCGTCGCGCTTGCAAACGCCATCGCGGCCCTACCCTGCCGCCGTCGAGCGCCTGCAGCCGCCGTCGCGGCCGTGCCCTGCCCTGCCACCGTCGCGCCTGCAGCAGCCGTCGCGGCCCCGCCGTAGCCACCATCGTGCCTACAGCCGCCGTTGCGGCCCCGTCAAAGCCGTCGTTGCGGCCCCGCTGTAGCCGCCCGTCCCGCGCCTGCCCTGCCGACGCCCGACGAGCGCCTGCCCTACCCGCGCTTGGTGAGCACCTGCCTTCCCGCGCAACCCGCACACCTGCCCTCCCTGCCGAGCCGCGCTGCTCAGCTGAGCCGCGCCGCCTAGCCGAGCCGCGCCGCCCAGCCGAGCCGCGCCACTCAGCCGAGCCGCGCCGCTCTGCCGAGCCGCGCCACACTGCCCTACTGAGCCCCGCTGCCCTGCTCGCGCTGCTCCTGCTGCTACTGCTACTCCTGGCGCCATGGGTACCCCTACGGTTCTTACCTTCGATGCTGAGGGTCGTGTAGTTGACTTCAATGTTTGGATGGATGATCTGCAGCTCTTCCTACAGTGCAATTCTAGGACGGAGTTTCGCTTTTCGATCTCACGTCCGGCGCCTCTGCTGTACCTGCTGCCGATGCTGACAGTACTGTTCGCTCGCAGTGGACTACTCGTGACGCAGTTGCTCGCCTTGCTATTTGTAGTCACCTGCCGTCCGCTGAGCGCGCGCACTTTGTCTAGTACAAGACTGCCAAGTCTTTGTATGACGCTGTCGTGGCGGGCTACTCCTCTCCTGCCACTACTACCCTCAGCCGCCTCATGCTACCGTACCTGTTCCCTGACCTGGCCGCCTTTGCCACAGTTGCTGACCTCATTACTCACCTTCGCACTAGTGACGCCCGCTACTGCGCTGCGCTTCCCTCCGAGTTCTGCGCCAAGAACCCTCCCCCCCCCATGTACATCACCCTCTTCTACCTAGTCACCCGTCTCCCTGACTCCCTTTCCTCAGTCAAGGACCACTTTCTCTCCTTTTGCCCCACCGAGCTCACCGTCGACCTGCTAGAGGAGCGCCTCCCTGCAGCTAAGAAGAGCATAGCTGCTGTAGGTGCTTCTCGCGGCGACCCTCCCGCCCCGTTCTTTGAGGGTTGTTCCCCCGTTCCCCTTCTGCCCTCTGTTGCTTCTGCTGCTGTTGTTGACCTCCTTGGCACCGAAGAGGTCGGTGCTGCGTCTGCTCCTAGTGGGAGGTGACGCAGCAGCAAGGGCAAGGGGGGCAAGGGTGGTGGAGGGGACGGCGAGGGCGGCGGTGGTGGAGGTGGAGGAGGCGGAGGGGGTGGGGGTGGAGGCAAGGGTGGTGGCGGGAGTGGGGGCGTCGGTGGCGGCAGTGGAGGTGGTGGAGGCAGCGGCAGCGGCGGTGGAGGCAGCAGCGGCGGCGGTGGAGGTGGCGGCGGCAGTGGTGCTGGTCGGGGTGGCGCTGCGTAGCGTGGAGGCTTTGGCGGTAGCCAGCGCCAGCAGCAGCCGCGTTCCTGCGAGACCTCGTCGCCCCAGCAGCTTCGTGAGTGGTACGCTGGGCGTGGGAGGTCGTGGTGCTGGTCCCTGCACTTAGGTTTTGCGCACCGGCGGGCGCCGTGGGGAGACGTGCGGAGGGCCACACACGTCGCAGCGCTGTTTCGGTCACCTGTCTGATGCCTGGCGCGCACAGTTTCCTGACGCCAGTGAGCTCCCTAGCTGGGCTGATCTACTTTGGCAGAATGCTGATATCTTTGCTCTTGACTATGATGCTATCCTTGCTGCCATGTTTGCTGTGACTATTAGTGCTGAGAGTGACTGTTACCTGTGTGTGCCGCCTGACCCAGGTATAGAGTCAGCTTCTCTAGGTGCTGGAGAGGCTGCTACTCTAGGTGCCAGTGAGTCTGCTGCTCCAGGTGCTGGTGAGTCTGCTTTTTCAGGTACTGCGCCTGTTGAGGCCTTGCACACCTTCACACTTGACTCAGGTGCTTCCCGCTCCTTCTTTCGCGACAGCACCACACTCACACCGCTCAGTCGGCCGGTTGCAGTCTCCCTGGCAGACCCCTCTAGGGGCCCAGTCCTTGCGCACTCCTCCACGGTTCTGCCATGTCCGGCGGTTCCGTCTGGCTCACTGTCGAGTCTTCACCTCCCCTCATTCTCTACGAACTTGGTGAGTGGGGCCAACCTCCAAGTTGCGTTGGTTGACCAGTTTACTCCTGGAGGTCAGCGTGTGACCCAGTGTACGTGCTCCCGGACTGGTCGGCACCTGGCCACGTTCACCCGAGCGCCTGGCTCGAGTCCATACACACTGGCCAGGTATTTGTGTCTGCGTCTGCGTCACGTCAGCTAGCGACCCCCTTCTGGTGTCGCGCTTTGTCGCAGTAAACCGTCCTCTGACACCACCGCCTTGATCACCCCTCGGTGCAGCGCCTTCGTGGCATGCACCGACGTGTCCTTGTCTCTAATCTTCCTAGGATTCTACCTCCCCTCCCACCCTTGCCTGCTCCTCCCTGTCTTCCCTGTGTCGAGGGGCAGTAGCGCGACGCTCCTCACTCCTCGTTTCCCCCGACAACTTCTCCCCTGCAGACCCTACACATGGACGTGTGGGGCCCAGCCCACGTCCGTGGACTGGACCGCGAGCGGTACTTTTTGCTGGTTGTTGACGACTACACGCGTTACACCACGGTCTTCCCCTTGCGCACCAAGGGTGAGGTCCCTGATGTTTTGATCCCTTGGATCCGCGCTGCCCGTCTCCAGCTCCGCGAGCGGTTTGTGATGGACTTTCCCGTCCTGCGTCTGCACTCTGACAGAGGTGGTGAGTTTGCCTCTGACTTTCTGCGGGAATTTTGTGGTGGGAAGGGCATTCGCCAAACGCTCACGCTCCCAGCCTCACTGCAGCAGAATGAGATTGCTGAGCGCCGCATTGGCTTAGTCATGGAGGTCGCTCGTACCTCCATGGTCCATGCGCCTGCCCACCATTTTCTGTAGCCGTTTGCGGTCCGCTACGCTGCGCATCAGGTCAGCCTTTGGCCCCATGTCTCCTTGCCGGAGACCTCGACCACACTGCGTTGGACGGGGAAGGTTGGCGATGCGTCAGTGTTTCGGGTCTGGGGTTTTCGTGCCTTTGTCCGCGATACTACCGCGGACAAGCTCTCTGCCCGTGCTATTCCCTGCGTCTTCCTTGGCTTTGTCCCTGACGCCCGTGGCTGGCAGTTTTACCACCCCACCTCGCGCCATGTCCTGCCCTCTCAGGACGTCACGTTCGACGAGTCGGTTCCCTTTTACCGTCTCTTCCCCAACCGCACTGCCTCTCTCCCCCCCCCCGCCGCTCTTCCTTGCACCAGGTCCTCCTCCGGTAGACCCCCTCCCCTCTCAGGGTCCTGCTCCCTCAGGTGTGTCCCAGGTAGACGGTGTCCAGCCTGTCGAGGTAGCGCTTGACTCTGGTGCTGCTATTGGGGGTGGTGTTGCTGGGGGTGCTGAGCCTGAGCGTGCGGAGCCTGGGGGTGTTGAGCCTGGGGTTGCTGCGTCTGGGGGTGCTGAGCCTGAGCGTACGGAGCCTGAGGGTGCTGAGCCTTAGCGTGTAGAGTCTGGGGGTGTTGCGCCTGGGGTTGCTGAGTCTGAGGGTGCTGAGCCTGGGGGTGCTAACCTTGGAGGTGCTGAGCTAGAGGGTGCTGAGTCTTCTGGAGTTCCTACGGGTGACTCATCTCGGCGGGAGCCTCTCTCTCCACCGCAGCTGCGTGAGTGGTTTGCTCGCCGCTAGAGACTCCAGCGAGGTGCTACTGGAGCCGGAGCTGCTGGAGGTCCTGCTGGTGCTTGAGCTGCTGGAGGTACATCTGG